CTTTTGAGTGGTTTGTAGATATCGGGTAGACAAGAAAACTCTGTCACCCACTTGATATGGTTTCTGTGGAGTTCTCTTTTTGTCTGCAAACTTCTTATGAGCTTGATGTGCATCATCTAATGCTTTAAGAGTGACTGGCCAATTAAGCTGGAGTTGTGTTATCCATTTATCTAATGACTGGATATTAGGCCTCTCATGAGGAAGTTCAGGTATGGGTACAAAATCTTGTCCTGATGCCACCTTGAATGGGGTAAATCCAGTACTGCTATGTACAGAATTGTTATATGCCACTTCAGCAAATGGCAATAGGTCAGCCCAATTATCCTGCTGATAGTTTATGTAACAGCTAAGGTACTGCTCCAATACTGCGTTAGTTCTCTCACAGGCCCCATTGGTTTGGGAATGGTGGGTGGAGCTTAAGCCCTGGGTGGAGCCCAATAACTTCAGGAACTCCCTCCAAAAGCTCGAGGTAAATTGAACCCCCCTGTCAGAGATTATGCACTCAGGAACGCCATGTAATCTATAGATATGCAAAATTAACAGTTTAGCCAAAGTTTTTGCAGATGGAATCTTCGAACAAGGTATGAAATGTACTTGCTTGGAAAACAAATTGGTTACCACCCAAATAACTGTTTCCCCCGCTTTAGGGTAATTCCACTATAAAGTCCATAGAGATTTCCTTCCACGGAGCTGTTGGTCTAGCCACATTTTGTAACAACCCTGCTGGCTTACCAGGAGGTCTCTTGGCTGATGCACAAATAGAACAGCTAGCCACATAAGTTTCAATGTCCTTCTTCAAAGTGGGTCACCAGAATTGCCGCTTAACCAAGTGTAATGTTTTGACATCCAAAGTGGCCAGCTGCTTTAGAATCATGAGCTTGTTGTAATATTTGACTCCTCAGTTTCTCTGGCACGTACAACTTGGTTCTCACCCAGGCCATCCATCTCTAACTGTACAATTATTCGAATGAGCCAGGAACCAATCATCAAGTTTTAGAGCGTCTTTTAATTGTGTAGTCAAGCCATTCGATAGATCCATTTCCTGCTTCTTCTTTTGGGCTCTAGTAACTACTGGAGTTGCTAGCTGTTTGGTTGGGACAATCGGCCGTATTACTTCCTGGCGAGTACTATTATATTGAGGTAGTCTAGATCAGGGGTGCCCAACCACCGGTCCCCGACCGGTACCGGTCCGTGGATCATTTTTTACCGGGCCTCAAAGCTTGGGCACTACCATCTTGTTTCGACGGCGCTTCCAGGTTTCGGGTTGCTTCCAGGTTTTCGGTTGGAAAGTGCTTCTGGGTTTTCAGTTGGAAAGCAGCATTTGGGTGCTCGCGCCTTAGTTTCGTCGAAGGGGGTGGTGGCTTCGAACGAAGAGCCGTCCCTATGGCGGTGGAGTCTCGCGTTACTCAGGTACCGGTCCGTGGAAGAATAAATAATTGTGAAACCGGTCCCTGGTTCAAAAACGTTGGGGGCCACTGGTCTAGATAGAGCATCCGCCATGAAGTTCCTCCCCCCTGGAATGTACTTCAGTGAGAAATTAAACCACTAGTTTCCACATGACCACATGACCACGAAGATGCTAATAACTGAAAACCCACCATAAGTCACCTTTTTCAGTGCCATTGCAACTTCGAATGGTCATTAAATGTATGGTTGCAAGTCAAGGACTTCAATATTTCTCATCCTGAAGGGCTTCCTCATCAATTCATTTTGAAATTATTGGAGTTGGAATGAGTTGCTTTCTAACTGCAGTAACAACTTTGCTTTCTGAAGGAGAAAAAAAGTGAAATCTGGAAAAGAAAATATCCTGTGTATGCTTAGAAACACCTGTTTGAGTAGCTGCTGAAGGTGAAACCTATTGATGCTCTAACAAGATATCATGTCTGTGCAAACACAGCTTGCAATCTCAAAAAAAAAGAACATTGAATAAATGAACATTGAATAAAGAACAAACTGACTCCCCCATTTTAGCCTCACACATGGATTCCTAAGGAAGAATGAGGCTCTTTTAAGCACACTTTCCCCCCAACAATTTTATTAAACATTACAATTAAAAGCTAAGACAAACTAAAACAATATAAAAGAATAAAAAGGAAAAAAACAGAGAGTGCATAAAAGGAAAAAAGAAAAGAAGGAAAAAATTAGAACATAAGAAGAAAAAAGAAAAGAATTATATAAAGAAACTACTTCACCTTTCATCACATTCTAAATAATTGTAATAATTTACCACATTACCTTAAAAATGCAATAAATGATGAATTCTTTCCATATCATATGTCTTAACTATAAACAAATCCTTAAAGATTTGTTGCTAAGTCCTGATCAGCAAAAATCTATTAAGGGTTAACAGAAATAATAACAACTCTCTTATGCAAGTTTAATTTAGGAAAGTTATCTAGGTCATTCTTTAGGTTGTTATTTGTATATCCTTTTTAATTATGAGGTTTTTAGAGAAACAATTTGGGATAAACGGTTAAATTGCTGTCCTGTCACTATAAGGTAAAGGTTCCCCTCGCACATACGTGTCAGTCGTTTCCAGCTCTAGGGGGCAGCGCTCATCTCCGTTACAAAGCCAGAGAACCAGTGCTGTCCGAAGACATCTCCATGGTCATGTGGCCAGCATGACTAAGTGTCGAAGACGCACGGAACGCTGTTCCCTTCCCACCAAAGAGGTCCCTATTTTTCTACTTGCATTTTTACATGCTTTCGAACTGCTTAGGTTGGCAGAAGCCAGGACAAGTAACGGGAGCTCACTCATTCTTTCACTATATACATACCTAAATATTTAATGCATTTGGTACAAATGCAGAATTAATATTACTTAAGTGGTAACCATATTTTTACCTATTGGCATCCTCTCTGACTGGGATTAGTTCCTCCTATTTTATGCATCTATCATTTGTATCAACACAAGAATAGTAATGTGAGGTTTAGAAATAAACAGAAAATTATCATCTGTACATAAAACTGGTTTATTTTAATCTACCACTTGGTAAATATCCCTAGTTGTCTTATACGGTTCCAAGCCTAGGAACCCATACAAATATCAAAAAGGAACCGCAAAGGTGCTCTTTTTAAAAAAGGCAACTGGACTTTGTTTTTCCTTGAAGATGTTTCGCTTCTCATCCAAGCAGCTTCTCCAGTTTTGACTGAAGTCAGTCAGAACTGAAGAAGCTTCTTGGATGAGAAGTGAAATATCCTCAAGGAAAAACAAAGTCCAGTTGCCTTTTGAAAAAAAAAGCACCTTTGGGATAACCATGACCTGGATGACTGAGAATCTCTATAGACATCAAAAGGCAAAGATGAAAGTGTTGGTTTCATAGGAAATGCTCCAGAATCTTTTGGGGTACAGAGAAGATCTCAAGATTAATTCATTTCCCCATTTGGCTTTGAGCAGCAAAAACCCATGTTCTGGAGACTTCATCTCTGTGCCAGCTTCTTGTTTAGCGTATGTGAAATTACACACGCTATTTCTCACAAGTGTGAATTAATGTCTGGGCCAGACAATCGAAGCCAATAAATCTTCTCTAATTGCATCTCACTATAATAGATCTCAGAATCCAATTAATGATAAAAAGCAGACATTTTCCCATGACTTAGAGCATGAAACTGCCTAACTTTTTTGTGTCATCTGCATGAAGCATATGATGATATGAGTCATCTGCATGAAGCATATTGTTCTTAATATGCTTTGTTATACTTGACACACAAGCCTTGGTCACAATCCTTAGTTCTTTGTTTTTGGCTTGGTGTGATGACAAACCAGGCAAACCAGGTCATTATGGATTTATTGAAGAACACCCTAGCTTGCCAATTACTGTCAGGATTTAACAACCATTGCAGTCCTAGTTAACTGCTCAGGGTCTGGATCAGAGTTAGCCCAAAACTCAATCCACTTAGATTGGCATTGTTTGCTGAGATTTTTCAACTGGCAAGATTGGGGAACTAAAAATGATTTCTCCCTTATCTTTAGGGGGAAAATATATATATTGCTTCATAATGTTTTGCAGTTTAGGGTTTGTCATCTTGAGCTCTTGCCATCCTGGAGTCGACGGGAGCTATCGTATTTGGGGAGTTATAGTATTTGGGGTGTTATGATATCTCAACAGCTGGGGAAAACTTCATGAAATGTTTTGGGCTGCAGGTTTCTACAGCAAAAAAAAATGTGGGTTTTGATTACAGAGAAGGGAAGGTAGATCTATGCTGCAGGAACCAGCAGACAAACCACAGCAAACAAAACTTGCAGTTGAGTGCCTTCTGTGGAGCAAATACTTTCTCCCTTTCCTTCCTTTCATCATGTCCCTTCCACTCCCCTTCTCTCCTCTCCCCTCTTCTCCTGTGTCCCCTCTCCCGCTCTCCCCCTCTCCTTCTCCCACCTTTTCCCTCTTCCTCCCCTTCCCCTCCTCTTTCTATCCCTCTCCTCCCCTTTCCTTCCTTTCTTCTTTTAGCTGTACCCCAAAGAAGACTTTCTGCTTTGAAGCAGGGGTTTTTCAGGATGTCTCAGACAGATCTTTCCTGTCCTTGATCCTTTCCCCCTTCTCCAATCTTTCCATCTAACACCTTGGCTTCTTTCTAAATCTCTCTCTTCTACCATCACTTCCATATGAAGAGAGTGCTTGCCTTTTCTCGGGAAGTTGTTGCCTTCAATTCAATCTCCCTCCCTCTCCCTCCCCCTCCCCCTCCCCCTCTCCCTCTCTCCTCCTCTTTCTCTGAAGAATCAGAACCCCTCCTTGGGTTATATCTCTAGCCAAACCAACATTTGTAAACCTGGTCAATGAGCTGCTAACCCTGCATGCCTTCAGCTCTCTGTAATTACTGTGGAGTCAAATGAGAACTGGCAGGTGGTGTCACCAAACATGAGTTGCTGATGGTCGTTTGTGAACTCCTACATACCTCTCTTCAGAACAGCACACATGTAATTAAAATAATCTGAATCATAGGGTGCATTTTAAAAGGGAAGGCTGGAGACATTTTTCACATTAATTGTTTTCTTTTTCTAGCATTTGAAGTCTTGGGCTTGTCTTTGCTGATACCAGAACTAGAAGCCATCCAGACAGTAAGAATGCAAATTCCTGGTAAGTGTCTCACAAGAAATAAGAAAGAAAACAGTAACCGCAATTATAAAATGCCTTGTCTTTCAATTCTTTTTCTCTCTCTTGTAATACTACTGAACTTCATAGATCTATTTCTCCATCCATACTTTATATAATTAAATACTGCAGAAAAAAAGACGAAAAGGAAACAATAGAAAGCAAGCAAGCAGCACACGATAGTAAGAACAAAATTATATGTATCTCCCAATTCTTTTCAGCCACATAGTTATTATGTGGAAATTGATGGTTGGATAATGGAAATGGAATTTCTGCATGGTTACTTCTAGAAGCGTAGTCCTCTAATGCTGGATAAATAAATTTATTGACCAAATTTCAAGGTGGATTGATGTCTTGATGTTCCCTGTGAGTTACTTACAAACATAGATTAAGTATTGTGTGGACAATTACAATGCAGCATCCTCAGCCTTCATGAAAACTGTTTTATACACATATCTGTTTGAATATAAATAAGCAGGGGAAGTGGCTCCAACAGTTCCCAGGAATAACATCAGAGCTCTCTATCCAGAAGAGTGCTAGCAAGGATTAAGATCCCACACAGAACTCTTAATTTCCCAGACACTGATAGAAGACCTAAAATCGAGGAAGACACAGATCATCATGGGCGAGAAAGATTTTTTATAATATGTTCCTGAGGTTTTTCTTTTACTTCTCCTTCCTGAATATTGCAAGGAGCTCTAAATCTCTTGCCTTGGGTCTGGAATAAGGGCAGGGGGATAACAGAAAAACACAGTTGGAAGGGACCTTGGAGGTCTTCTAGTCCAACCCCCTGCTCAAGCAGGAAACCTACACTGTTTCAGACAAATTGTTGTCCAGTCTCTTCTTAAAAACCTCTAGTGTTGGAACATCCACAACTTCTGAAGGCAAGTTGTACCACTGGTTAATTGTTCTCCCTGTTAGGAAGTTTCTTCTTAGTTCTAGGTTGCTTGAGCTATGGTGGCCCAATGGTTAGAGTGCAATACTGCTGGTTACTTCTGCTGACTGACTGCAATTTGGCAGTTCAAATCTCACCAGGTTCCATCCTTCTGAGGTCGGTAAAAAATGAGGACCCAGATTGTTGGTTGCAATATGCTAACTCTGTAAACCTCTTAGAGAGGGCTGTAAAGCACTGTGAAGCAGTATGTAAATCTAACGCTATTGCTATTCCTTCTTTATTCAGTTTCTATCCATTGCCTCATCTCTTGCTTTCCAATGCTTTGGAGAATAGGTTGACCCCCCTCAAACCATCAGTGTTGGAGCACCCACAGCTTTTGGAGACAAGTCTTTCGACTGATTAATTGTTCTAAGAGATGGGCCCCTTGCCAGGGGTGGGTTTCCAATTCTTTTCCTAACAGTTCAACGAGGCCGCGCTTTGCCTAAGGTAGATTTCAGGCCTAAGGTGGGACTTGAACTCAGGGACGCCTAATGATTGGCCCAACGTCACCCAGATGGCAACATCTCCTGGCAATTGGCCCAGAGACCCAACCAAGCATTCGTGGTTAAGGAGGGACTTGAACAGGGGTGGGATTCAACCGGTGTAATAACTGGTCTTGTGCATGCATGTGAGCTTCATGAGCATGCATGCCAAACGTGCATTGCGTGCGCGTGCACAGCATTTGAAAATCTTCTTCTCCTGTGCTGCGCAAAGCAGCTGGTTGAAAAATCAGGAAATCAAGGACAGCCTAGAACCTGGGTGGGCAGGTGGGCTAAACAGAAGAACAGAAGATTTTCAGAGCAAACCGGTTGCCTCTCAGCTGATCTTTGGAGTTACCAGTTTGGTAGAACCAGGCTGAACCAGCAGAATCCCACCTCTGGACTTAAATTCTCGCTTTCTAGCCTTAACCACTAGACTAAGTTGTCTCTTAATGTCCTTTCCTTTAGTTTCTGGCCTGTGGAATCAGATTTGGGGGAGGAATTGGGGCAAATTCTGACGTGTTTCTTTATTTCTCAATGTTCTCCTGATTATAAGATTCTTTAGAAACATTTTCTGCCTCTTGACTTAGCTGCTGTTCCTTGAGTCAGCATGAAAAGAGAAGATCCAGTGGCCATTGCTTCCTGGGTGACTCCATCCATTCCTCACCGGCTCTTAATCTGTTTATTTTTTCTAATGTTGGAATTCGCCTTCCTATGGCTTCCATCCATTCTAGCTTAGTGTTCTGGAACAAGACTTTGTCTTCTTCTATGTGACATTGATACTTGAAGAGTGAGGATGAATCATTTTGCACTACAGGTAGTCCTTGACTTACGACCACAATTGAGCCCAAAATTTATGTTGCTAAGTGAAAAATTTGTTAAGTGAGTCTTGACCCATTTTACAAGCCTTTTTTTGCCATGCTTGTTAAGTGAATTGCCACAGTTGATAAGTTATAACATGGTTGTTAAGTGAATCTGGCTTCCCCGTTGATTTTGCTTCTCAGAAGGTTGCAAAAACAGATCACATGACCTTGGGACACAGCAGTGGTCGTAAGTATGAGTTGGTTGCCAAGTTTCTGAATTTTGATCACATGATCATGGGGATGCTACAAAGGTCCCAAGTGTAAAAAATGATCATAAGCCACTTTTTTCAGTGCCATTGTAACTTTGAAGAGTTATTAAACAAACTGTTGTAAGTTGAGGACTACCTTTAGAAGTCAGTTTTTTCAGTGCCATTGTAGCTTCAAACAGTCACTAAATGAGTGATTGTAAGTCAAGGACTATCTGTGGCATAAATCTATCTACGTTAGCATCCACTGATTTATTTTAAGGGATGATGGTAATAATAGACTCTTAGAAACTGAAGGGTGTTTGCCAAGACTCCAATTAGAACACCAAGACAAGGAAGATCATTTGATTTACGATTCTCTATTTTACTGATTTCACAAGAGAGAGAGAGAGAAAGAGAACAAAAGGGAGAAATCACACCTTTTATAGTTTGCAGAATAAAAAAATGTAATAACTGATTTGATTGCATAAGAAAAAGCCACCTGTCCAATTGCAACAGAAGCATGTAATATTTATGCATGACAATTGAAAAGAGCATGGCATTAAAAGTATATAAAAAAGTAAAACATTAGCATAGGAAAAGACATCAGGAATCTGTGGTGAAAAGAAACAATATTAGTTAATCTCTGAACTTCTTAAGTTGGAAAAAAAAATCTTTTATTATCCAGCCTGAGGAACTTCCTATCTTTTTAAGTTATAGTGAATTGAATGCCAGGGAAAAACTCCAGCATTCTATTCTTACAAGGTTATGCACAGAATGTAAGCTAAATTAAAGAAAATAAACCCATGGTAGTTAACCAGTGCAACAATACTACACAACCCATATAGCAAGCATTAAAAAGTCCATCTGGTCTGCCCCTCAGCAGTCCTTCACTTACGATCACAATTGAGCCTAAAATTTCTGTTGCTAAGCAAGACATTTGTTAAATGAGTTCTGCCCCATTTTATGACTTTTTTTGGTACAGCAGTTAAGAGATTCACTGTAGTTATTAAGTTGGTAACATGATTATTGAATGAATCTGGATTTTGCTTGTCAGAAGATCACAGGTGGTGATTACATGACCTGTAACTGTCATAAATGCATTCCAGAATTTGCTGCCTGCTGAAATATTTCAAACCAGAGCTTAGTCATTTTATTCAGCTTTATTCCTAGGGCTGAGACAAGATGTACATTTAATCATTCTTGTCTCATTTGTTGACAGTACACAAATCCACTTTCTTGGGGCTTTAAAAATTCTGGAAGGGGAGTACTCGAATCTGCAATCCTCAAGAGAAATATTTTTTTAAAGGGAGGGATCAAATTTGGAAGCAGAAATGAAGTTGATGAGGGTTTACCACCCTTCTTTTCTTGGAAATGTTGAAAATATTTGTTTCTGAGTCAAAACAGCATGTAATCAGTGTGACATCACTTGTTCTCTCAAATATCCCCAGATACCAAGATTGATGTGAGGTGAAACATGTGATAAGATGTGCTTCATTTTTAAGGCCAGATAATTCCACCCATCAGTGTTTAGCAGAGAAGGACTCTTACATCCTTCTGTTTTACAAAGCTGGGAAAGTTGTAAAATGGGCAACATTCACTTAACAACTGCCTTGCTTAGCAACCAAAATGTTGGGCTCAACTGTGGTCATAAGTCGAGAACTACCTGTATAGTTTTTTTCAGTCCCATGTCTCGAAGTCATTTGAAAAGTATTTTCTTTAAAAACATACTCAGAATCTGTTTATTTCACTGATTTGTACTTGTACTTTTCTTGGGCAACAATATAGAATACATTTGCCATTGCCATTTGTGTTTGACCCTGTGGACTCATTTTAGACCTTAAAAAAGGGATCCACTGGCCTCCCATCCAACAGCTAACCTCACCTAACTCTGCTTAGCTTCCCAACCAGATGTTCCTCAGATGCTCATGCCTGCTAAGGTTAAAGTAGTTTAGAATGGGACGATGTTATAATTCTAAACATTGGATGACATCATAATTCGAAACCTTCTGCTGTAGCTTAACTTTCTTCTTGCTGAGATCTTGTCAGACAAATGGATTCGTAATGGCCTGGCTTTCACAAGCCTGTATGAGAACATTGACAAAAGGGTCAAGGAAGATGAGTGCTGTAAGCAATGTACTTTCCCAGTTTTGCTATGCTTGCCAAAACAGGTCCTCAAAGGTTAAAATCCTTTTATTCAAGAGCTGCGTTTTTAAGTTCAGCTGTCCTGCTGGTGAGTATCTGAATAGGAAGACTTTTGTTCACTTGAACACATCAGTAACGGTAACAGTATAACAGAGTTGGAAGGGATATTAGAGGTCCCCTAGTCCAACCCTGTACTCAAGTACGAGATCCTATACCATTTCAGACAAATGGTTGTCCAATCTCTTCTTAAAATCCTCCAGTAATGAAGCAACCCCAATTTCTGGAGGCAAGCCAAATCTAATAAACACGGCTGAAGTTCTCCTTGGGTGGGTTATTCTTCATCTGAATTACCTTGAGATGGAGTCGTCCTATTTTTTTA